CTTTAAATATTTAGGAATCTATGTTGGAAAAGAACATTTTGTTCAGAAGAACTGGGAGACCGTCATGGAAAAGATCGAGGGTAAGCTCTCCAAGTGGAGGTGGCTCCTCCCAAAAATGTCACTCAGAGGCAGGGTCCTAGTGTTAAACAACTTGGTAGCATCCCAACTGTGGCATCGGCTCACCAGTGCAGACCCTCCTCCAGGTCTCCTGACTCAAATTCAAAAGAAAATGGTGGATTTTTTCTGGGACGGTCTGCACTGGGTGCCACAGGGGGTGCTCTTTTTAGACAGAGAGGAGAGGGGTCAGGGCCTTGTCCACTTGGCCAGCCAGAGTGCCACTTTTAGGCTCCAGTTCCTGCAGAGGTATCTCACAGGCCTGGCAGATCTGGTGTGGAGAGCATGGCTCTGTTGAAAGAATCTCTGATCCACGAAGCCAGACTGGACATCAACGGAGCAACAACTCCTGGCCTGATGGGAAAGCTGATCCGGTCTGGGACCCTCACGGTGGGTCAGCTTGTGGATGCTGTGGGGCCGGAGCTGAACGACGCCCAGGCCCTGGGTTCTCTGCTGGGGCTGCAGTCTGTCCGGGTATCCCAGAGACTCTTGGAGACCTGGAGGGACAAACTGACGGCCAGAGACAAAAGCCTCCTAAAGAAATATGGCCAAGGAGAACTCTCCCCGGACGCTGCAGACCCCTTCCCTGAGGTCCTGCTGAGCCTGGGGCTGGGGAAACTGTCCGGCCCCCTCTTGGAAACCACACAACCCGAGAAACTGTCACAACACAAGGCAAACAAAAGGATTTTGTATCTGAACTGTGTGAAGAGCATCCACAAGAGTGGACTGAGCAACAGACTCCCCACTGTGTGGTCACGAAGACTAGGACAGGGCGGACCCGGCCCACAGTGGAGGATTTTACGTGGTGCGATTGCCTCAAATGCTTTTATTTCTGTTTTTAACCCTGCTGTTTTAAACATGTCCAATTTGGCCAACACAGAGAGACTGTCTACCACGTTTTTACTGAGTGCAAGAGGCTCACAGAGTTCTTCACTCTTTTAACGATGGTTTTTAGTCTTTTTGGTGTTGTTTTTACTGAGAGAAATTTTATTATGGGAGTGGGTTACCAAGAAAAAGAGAAAAACAAATGGCAACTGCTAAATTTCATCTCAGGAGAAGCAAAGATGGCAATGTACATCAGCAGGAGAAACAGACTACAAAATAAAGAAGGGCAGGACGTCAGAAGTGTGGCGAGTCAACGTCAAATCCAGACTCTGGCTTGAATACAGTTTTTTTTAAACAAACAAATGATCTTTATGCTGTTTAAAAGACAATGAATTGCATTTTGCACACTTTATACACTTTTTAACTTAAATGTTTTTAAAAGTCTGGCACACACTGTGATGCCTTCACTGTTCCTCTGACACCTGATGTGAAATAAAAGTATTTTTAAAAATCAAACAAAAAAATCTCTCGCTCTCTCGCTCTCTCTCTCTCTAGCTCTCTCTCTAGCTCTCTCTCTCTCTAGCTCTCTCTCTCTCTAGCTCTCTCTGTTTTTTGCATTCACCATATCTAGTTTGTTTTAGATTTGTTTTGGTTTCTGTGTATCGTCAGTGTGCTTTTTGTTATTAGCTTTGTTGTTCGAGTCCGTTTGAGTTTCTGTTTATTTATCTTTGTTAGTTTTTTTTTTCTGTTTTCTGTCATCCTGTTTCTCAGCATTTCAGTCTGAGCACCCTTTGTTAGCGCTTTGTCACTTTTCTATCAGTTCACTCAGCACCTTTAGTTTACCCTTGGTTTTTCAGCCTGCCAGTATCTCTGCACCTAGTGAGCTTTTTGAGTTAGTTTGATTATTCTGAGTTCTCTTCTTAGCCAGTTTTTACCTGGTCCTGGTTGAGTATTTTTAAAATTGTATTCTTTTGGTTTCTCATTGTTGTAAAATAACCTGTTGAATTGCTTCAGTCTACCGTGTCTCTGTTGTTCTGCGCTTGAGCTGTCTTTGTTCAGTTTCTGTGGAGAAATTTGAGCTACAGAGGAGTGTGCCTCTAACAGGGACACACGTCTCAAACTCAGTGAAGAATCTAACCTAACCCAGAAACTTAGAGTGACAATAGTAAGAGCTGTAGCTAGTAGGAGGAAGCCACAAGCATGAGACAGGGATGTTTTATTGGCATGGGGGGAGGGCTGTGTGTACCAAGGGACTGTGGATACGCTCATATGTGACTCAATCACATGCAGTAGCAGATATATGGTGGGTTAGTGGAAACGTTACTGTTTTGTATCCCACACTGTGAACTTAGAGGCCAGATTGCTGTCATCTGTCCCTGGTGTTCATTTAGTTTAAATTTGTACTTTAAAAAAAATTTTTTTATTAAACTTTGTCTATTTACACCTAGCTGTATCAAAACAATCTAACCTGTGCTGCCCTCACCCTCATCCAGAAGGAGTTTGTAGCAAACACCCGCATGACACTACAGATTTGAGGTGGAATTGACCTCCTGATGGCTGAAGTAGGAGGATTGTGTGCCACCATTGATGGGCAGTGTTGCACTGTCACTGCATCCTATTCTGGGGATGGATAGCAGCTGAGCCAAGTCCTGCAGAAGATGAAAGAGTGTTCTGACATGATGCACAAGGCCGCAGGAGTAAATACTTCTCCAAATGGAAAGGACTGTTACTGACAATTGAAGGAGGATTGGTGGTTATGTTGTTGTTTCTGATGTGCTGTGGTTGTTGCATTTTTCTCTATTGCTCGACGATTCTTGACTAAAACAATTTTTAAAAAATATATTCAAATGTATTTGCTTAAAAATGTTCCACAGGATGATGCTGGAGGTAAACCCCAAGGATATATAGAATTAATAGAGAAGCCTGATCCTAATGACACTATCCAGGATATAGACTGTGTGTATTATGATCAACATGACATTCACGCAGACAACTGAAAGAAGAGGTATTAACTGATGTATTGAATTTTATATGTGCTTAGCTTTCATTCATTAGGATATGTATTATTTTTCTTTATTGCATTTTCATTCATTTATGGGATAAATAGCATAAACGGGGGAAGTGATGGAAACATACTGAGGGTTGTTTTTCTGTTTCACCTTGTGGCTTATTAGTTTTTGAGAATGTGAAGGAATTATTCGAGAAATACACTACTGATGCAGAAAGCTACACTCCCACCACAGTGAGTTACATTCCTGTGATGGATGATTGAGAAATTAATGATGCAGTCCAATGTAAGGTGAAACAGAAACTCAAAGTAATCCTCCCATGGTAAGACAAAAGCAAACTGTCTAGAACAGAGATAACTTGCCCCTCCATAGGTAGCGTGATATGAGAGTATAAATACCGACAGTTCTTTTACTCGGGGAGCTCCTCTCCCATAACCCTGTGTTGTTGTGAGATTCTGTACACTGCAGTTTTGCAATAGATGTGGACAGAAATATTTGGAACACTGAAAAATATACTAAAAATATATTTAGTAACGCAGTAACACAGAGCATTATTGCAGTATACTGTGTCTATTCTATCTCTGAGGTCAATCCAGCAGATTCAAATCACATGGCTTCATGAGTATATGGCTTCAGTATTGAGAAAGGAGTCAGGTAACAAATGGAAACTACCATCAGAATTTCTTTTTCAAACAGGTAACTACAGTACCTAGAAGTTCACAATATTTGTATTGTATTTTTTCAGATTACATACTGCATCAGAGTGAACAAATTAATTGTACAGCATGGAATTTTAGTACAGCATCAAAACAAGAAGATCTGCATGACAACGTGAATGTGAGGATAAACTAAACTAACTACTAAACAATTTCAGAATATATCAAAATTAACTACTTAATGTAAACATTTTTAACTTGTCTGTCACTGTACTTATGCATTTAATCTGAGAGCCATGAATGTAGAAAGGTCCTCCCTCTTTACCACTTGCTCATGAAGAAATGCAAAAAGCCTGCAGAACCTCATCACAGAGTTCAGATCCAACTCTGACAACTTGAACAAGGTGCAGAAGAAAAACAAAGCTATAGACATCGCTGGAGGTACCACAGATGCTGTGGGAGGGGTGACTTGAGAGCAGGTGTGGGTATCACTTTACCCATATGACTATGGGTGCCTCACTGATTGCTACAGCTGTTGGCGCTAGTATGATGGCATCAGCTGGGAATATGGGTGCTCATGGTGCTAAAGCCTATGAGAAGATGGTAAATAGGATGACAGTTGAGAGTATTTGACTATAAGGTAGATATTGCTGACCTAGAACACTGTCTAGATTTCATCCTCTCTGTGATGAATGAGCCACAGAGGCACGACATTACCAGGTTACTAAGGACAGGGGCTGACAGGTTTGCAGTGAAAATGGTGCATACATCCCAGGCTGTGTTTAGGAATAAGATGAACTGTAAGGGGATGTCTGTAGCCACACAGATGGGGATACATTTAAGAAATTACTTCAAGCTTTTGCTATGGAAATGGACCTGTATTTTACAGCAAAGAATGGTCAGAGCTGAAGAAGTCAGATAAGAGTAGGTTTTCTGGTAGAGTTTGCCTGCTGGCTGGAAATTTGCAGGATGAACTAGATCATCTGGATCTTAGGTTGCTTTTGCTGAATCAAAGAATAGTGTGTGTTATGTGACCAGCTGTTTTGTATGTTTTAAATGGCGATTATCCTTTTTTTTTTTTTTTTAAGAATTAGCGTCATATCAAATAACTTATAAACCACTTCAACACTATCTCACTGTAAAACACAGTGGTGAAAATAGTAGTTCCATTGCCAATTAATGTAAAACAATGTATACAAAAGTAATAAATGGAAAGTACTGTCATGTGTTACAATGTCTGTTGTAATAATTAAAAAACTGCAACTTTGCGAAGTTTAGTACTACTTTGTTTTTTTTTTTTTTTTTTTTTTTTAGAATGACAGTAGAACACAAACACTGGCGGAGTGATAATGTGGACACTGCGGAAGGATACCGCCGCTCCTCCCTTAAGCTGTATATTACGACCGCGCTCGATCGTCGCCATTTACCCTCTCCAGAAACGGCAAATAAAATAGTCATTGTGGGATACCGCTATATTGACCGAAATGGCAGTGTGAAAGTGTGCAGCGACCCAGCAGCAACCAACAAACAGTGCATCCAGTCAGTGCACTGATTCACTTCTAATTCAGCAAAATGTCGTAAGTATTATTGTTATAACGTTTGTCGGTGTTTGTGGCCTACTGTTGTCGCCAGCCTGACCTAACTTACTGGACTTTTATAAAATCTGTGACTGTTTTTTTAATTTTATTTTTTTTATTTTTATTGATTTATCATTAACAATTAATTTGACTAACAGAATCGTCGAATGGATGGACATGATTTTGTTGGTATTAAATGATTAGGATTGGGAAATAAGGTCACAAACGTGAAATTAACATGAAGTGTTGCATGTTATGCTTTTGGCTCAGTTTGACTCGATAGATTGTACCTGTCAATAAGGTATTGCTACATTAGAATCAAACGCAGCTCTCATAACGTCAGCCTTCCACTGCCTGCGTGGCAGTCAGAAAATGGGTCGTTTCCTCTTGGTGTCAAAATGGCGGCTCACTGTGTATTGAGAACAAAAGCTAACTGTTGTGAGGGGGAGTGACGGACTCTGACTTGAAACACACTGACGTCAAACTCATAACACTGGTAGCCCCGTGGCAACAAGTGATGTGAAACAAGTGAACTGTAGTCATAGGGCAGTTTTGGTACAATGCAAAAGCACCTGCGTTATGACATCAAGATTATTGTGTTTATACTTAAACAAGTTTTTTGTAAACTACATGACCTCCTAAAAAAACAAACAAAGAAACACCTTTTCAATTTGCTTTATCACCGAGAATGCATTTCTTGAATATTGGTCATGTTTTCAACGCACACATTTTATTTTGTTTCCTGTCTTCAGGTCCTACATGGAAACCCTCAACACTGCTGCATTTGACAGCATAAAAGAGTTTGACGCTACCCTAGCATCGTCACGTGCTCCGTTTGTGACCAACAACAGCCACTATGACCACAATGAAGACCAACTCACAGTTTGGCCTGGAAGACATGGAGGCCCTTCTCTGGGTGCCTTCCTCTCCCATGGCTGATGCCATGGACTCACTATTTTATCACCCTGACAAAGAAAAACAACAGGAAAGAGGAGGAACCTTACTGGAGGGGGACACTTCACCAGGGTCACCCCACCCCTTTTCACCACTGTCTTCTTCTACCTCTCCTGCTCCCTTCTACTCTCCCCCATCCTCACCTCCAACCATCCTCCTCAATGGGGACAAAGTGGGGACTGAGTCTAACCTGTTCTCCCTCCCTTGGTTGGACCACCCTGTCCAGCAGAGATGTAGCCAGATGCTCTTCGGTGATGGCGAAGGCAGTGAGTGTAAAAAGCTGATAACCAGAAATGTATCTTTTTAAGAACATGTGACTTACCCAAAATATTTTTTGTTAAAATCTTTTAGTTTTAGTAAGTAGTGTCAGTATAATTGAGTTAAAAACTGATAGCCCAGTAATGTTGTGCCTTATTTCCCCTCACAGAGAATGCACTCAGTGACCTGGACTGGATGGCTGAGAGAATGGATCTTAGTGAGTTTGACCTGGGCTCTCTGATTAGCTCCTGCAGTCCTGCTGAAGAGTCTCCCGGCTCTCCAGAAGATCTTCTGGCCTCCCTTAATTGCCCCATGGAGCTTGACTGTCTCACTCTGCCAACTCTCACAACTCCTCTGCTCTCAAGTCTTCCCTCTAATTGTCTTTCAAGTATACCTCCCCCTCTCCTTCCCACTGTGTGTTCAGATCCTTCTATCAGTACAGTGGAGGTCCCTTCCTCTGCACTGCGTGTTCTAGAGCCAAAAGAGGAGCTGGAGATCAAATCTGAGCCTGCATCCCCAGACTCTTCCTCCCCAGTGGTTGATTTTCCTTCCTTCCCAGCCTTTACTCTGGACCTAGGCAGTGAAGTAGATGTCTCAGAGAGTGAGGCAAAGCCAGTGATGACCGCTGTGGTCCCTCAAGTCCCAAAGCTTGTACTCTCCCTTTCACCAACTCGCATAGTCCTTGTGCTGACCCCCAAAAAGGATGATAGGATGACATCAGAGGTCATTCATTGCTCCCCACCAGCCTCCCCTCCACAAAAGTCCCCCAGAAGCAGGTCATACCCTGTGCAGAAGTACAAATCCAATCCACCCTCAATTCGTGCGACCAATTTCAAAGTCAAGACCTTCCAGGATGCAGGTGGAACTGAAAGAGTTTCGAAGGTGCCAAGACAAGAAAAGAAACAAAAGAAGATGGAGCAGAATAAAACAGCTGCAGTACGTTACAGGCAGAAGAAGAGAGCTGAGCAGGATGCACTTACTTCAGAGTGTGCACTGCTGGAGAGGAGGAACATGGAACTTACTGAGAAGGCTGTGTCTATGGCTCGGGAAATTGAGTATCTCAAAGAGTTGATGGAGGAGGTCCGCTCAGCCATTCTCAAAAAGGGTATTGGTGCTGACCCCTAGTGGTTGGGCATGGCTATAACTGATGATGTGTAAAAAGTGATTTACAATGAAAAAAAAAGTACATTTTATTTCAGGATCACATTGCGCATACTGCATGTCTTGGATGCATAGTGAAGTAAAACTTGTTTGTCAGAATGAAATCTTATGTATTCAAAAGTGGTATTAAATATAGCATACTTTAGTCATGTCGTGGTAGATCTTAGCTATTTTCCATGCTTTATAGAAACTTGTGCAATGTCTCTTGTATGTATTTTTTCCCCTTTAACCAAACTTCAGTAATTTGCAAGCTGGATGTCATTTTATAGGTCTGAGTCTACATTATAGCATAACTGGACAGTCTGTAATACTATTCTCCTAATAAAGAGTGTGAGGCCTAATTGTACTGATTTGTGATTTCTTGTAGGCAGAATATTGGAAAGCAGATGCAAAAATGTATTTCTATTTGTTAGATACAGTGTTAGAAGAATATAAACTCTACATTTTTGGGGCTAGATTGGAAAACCAAACCAGTTTTAAGTTAAAGCGGTACAGATGAGTTGCACATAATGCATCTAGTGTAATAGCTTGTTAGCAAGTCAAATCTTATCTCAAAATGTCTTTGTAATTAATTCTCTGACCAGGAACAAAGAACCTATTCTCCATCTGAAAGGAGCCCCTTCAAAATAAACTGAGAAGAGGGTAATGGAGCCTGCCTGACCAGCAGAATGTTGAACACACATGGGCATTTATTGAAGTGACAGTTCTGTAAAGTCAATGTGTGGGGACACAAGTCTGTTTTGTGTTCCTGATGATTACAAAACTAAGTCACTAAAGTTTTTGGTAGGTGCTTAAAAGAGTACATTTTTACATGACAGTTTCTGGGAGAATGAAGGAGAAGAAAAAGTGCTGACTGAGAGACCACTTGAATAACATTACCACAAACAGCAAAAAAAAAAAAAAGAAGCAAGAATTCATTCTACGTTTAAGCAATGTAATTGGTCCAGGCTTCTTTCCAAATATACTTCTCTGGAGGTACCCCAAAGTCAAGAGATGATTCAGAGCTAGCAAGCAAAACAATCCTCAAAAAAAAAAAAAATCTTGGTTTAACTCATGTAAATGTCCTAGAGTGATATTAAATTTCACCTGAGCAGAACATTAACCTTAGTGTTCTTTGGTGCCTGTGTGAAGTGTTTGGTCTTTAAAAAAAAAAAAAAGTTATTGTGGACTCATTACGGGCTGCAAGGTGGTGCAATTGGTTAACACTGTTGCCTCGCAGCAAGAAGGTCGCCGGTGGGGGCACCAGGATCTTTCTGCGTGGAGTTTGCATGTTCTCCCCGTGCAGTGTGGGTTCTCTCCGGGTTCTCTGGCTTCCTCCCACAAGTCCAAAAACATGCTGAGGTTAATTGGTGACTCTAAATTGTCCGTAGGTGTGAATGTGAGTGTATTTGGTTGTCTGTCTCTAAGTGTGGCCCTGCGATAGACTGGCGACCTGTCCAGGGTGTCCCCTGCCTTCGCCCTAAGTCGGCTGGGATAGGCTCCAGCCCCCCTGCGACCATAGTGAGGATTAAGCGGTGTATAGATAATGGATGGATGGATGGATGGATGAACTCCTTACCTACAAGTGCTATTTAGATGGTTTGTATTCTGCTTGCTACAATGTCACATAATGATGGTACCACAATACTACTTCCTCTAAGTGGGTGACTACCTAGTGCAACTGAAAAACAAAGATTTTCTTTTATCCTTTAAGATGGTATTGCAGCCCAGCCATGATGACAATGAAGAACTAAAACAATATTTAAATAATAAGAGGAAAGTCAGTAATACACAACGATACAGTTGTATCTTTTATTAATGTTTAATGGAATCACCATATGAGAAAGATTGCACAGTAAGTAACGTCACTTTGGCTACAGTAACGTGGTAGAACTTGAACAGTGTAAAAAAAAGGCTTGGCTAAGGGCTTACAATGAAACATATTTCACACTGTCTCATACAATATAATCACAGGTGGAGAGGGACTCAAAGACTCCAAATAAATGTTTGAAACATCCTCATCAAATTTTAAAGCCATGCTTGTCACACAAGTGTGGGAATGAATTAAACGCACTAAATAAAATACAGTGTCAGTAAAAACAGAAAGAGCAGTGTTAGGAATTCTTTAATACACTACATCATTTGTAGAAAACAAAATTTTAGAGCATGGCAGTGGTATTGGTCACATACATGTATAATATGTGAACTCCCCTAGTAGGACAGTAAAGATAACTTTGAACCTTAAATATGCTTTTATTTGTACATTTCAGAGTGGGAATTTGTTTTTCTTTATTCTTTTATTGTTGCAGTTGTGAAGGTAGAGCAATGTGATGTCATACCAGAAATTCACATAGATTCATATTGAATTCTTATTCAAAGAAGAGTCAGAGGAATAAGTGAGATTGCCTTCAGCTCTACAGGCACTCATTTATCTGCATGCTGTGTCTTTACATGCCTCTGACAACTAAATATATATTTATACATTACTTTTTTCAAAACATAACAAATGGTAACAGGAACGGATGTCTGAACACTGTAGAAGAAGTTAACAGGAAGTAAAAGCTAGATGTGAGCTAGAATGATTCACGAGGTTATGTTTTTTCTGTACCATGCTAAAGCTTGATGTAGATTATAGGATACTGTCCTGTTACTGCAGGGCTGCACTCTCACTCTCACACTTTTATGCTGAGGCACGTAGCTGAATCGAACTGTTCGATATATGCACTTTATGCATGACCGTAAACAGCAAAGCAGAGCCAGCCCAAACTGCTCCACAAAGATTTAAGATTGCACATAGTTACAATACAGCTTTTTCAATCTGTTTTTGGAGCTCTTCTTGAGCATTAATACTACAGCACTAAAAATACATATTTACCTCTTTAGATGGATTCATGATTTTTTTGTTGCACAAGGGGACCAAAGGAACAAATTAGAACTAAACTTGAAACAGCTCTTATGCTTGTATTTGTCGTGCCTTTTTTTAAACTCATGCCCAAATTCTCTAAATGCCTTAGCAGATAAAGAAATAGACTAACTTTGTTTACGTTCCCACAAACTTTATCAAACCCACACAGAAAGACTCCATTTTTAATTATAACAAGCCTTGGGTCTGCACTTTAGCAAGCAGCAATAATTAGCATTTCTGTAAATGTGCCAGATTTTGCCCTGGAGAAATCAATTCAATGCTAACTCCATGAGTAGAACCTCATCAAATTTTGATGAAGAGATTTTTTAATATCACTTATGTAAAAGATCAGAAAATTACATCTTGTTTCATGTCTGAAAGTCTATTTTTATAATACTGAAGTACACATACAATTCAAGACTATAGGCGTCTTTTCTGCATTTTTATGCACATAACTGAGCACAATATATCTTTCACACTGTCCGTGTTTTGATTTGGTATTCAGTAATTTGTTTTTATTTGAACTACTATTACAACCCCTATTGATTCAAAGTAAACATCAGCACCTGGTGCAGAATTGGACAACCATATCGTAAAAAAGGTTATACACAGAGAGATTCCTCTTATTCTTTCAATGATCATGAGTGATGGATTTGCTGCAATCTGACCATCTAACGTTTGGGTTTTGATTGTAGTTGTAGTACAAAGCTTATCAGTGCAGACTGAACAGTGATTTGCAATAATTTTAAAACACAGTCTCCTAAGCAGCAGATGTTTTTCATGGACATGTTCATCTGAGGCTGAGCTCAGTGAACGGTGAGTTTGGTCTTTTCATTTCTCACAGAGTGCTACTCATAACAAGACTCCTGTTGTAAACCTCTAGTTTATTCTGAAACTCTTTAGCTTTAAAGAGGGATACTTTGATGAGGTTTAAGTTACATGAGATGATGTTTGGACATACTGATAACTTAGAAAAAGGAGAAGAAGCCAGACAGCTATATGTGCAGTCACTGTAGCTGGCATCCTCGACAGTCGTCCTCAGGTTCGGTATTATCAGAAGAGTATGAGCTCTCCTCGCTCACTGTCAAATACAACACAATTATGTTAGTGTGTACAGTTTTGATGAGCAAACACACAAACGTCAACCATGTAGATATGTTCAGTAAATATGTTTTTCAACAGGAACACAAGACAAATCGTCACCTTAGAATTATAAAGTTCTATCTGACATTTTTGGCAAATTGAGTTATTTACATTTTCTGACTCTTGGACACATTATCTATACAAAACTATGTGTTGTTTTTTTTTAAATATTATTTTTTTGCTTTTAATTAACAAAAACAGATAGTTCTATCTGCGATTTCCACTCTAAACTGAGTGTTTTAAAGTTCTATCTGTGTTGGCCAATCAGAACACAGAATATACAACAATCCACCAATCACATTAATGCTTGCAGCTACTTAGCCAACAACCCAAAATGTCTCAAAGAAGTTTAAAAATAGACTAACAGTTCAAGAACTCCTAAGCGAGATTTTTCAAGACAGCAGAAAAAGGGAGAAGTAAGATATTTTTCCTATTTGTGTATGTGTTTTTTTTTTTTATTGTTTAAAAGTTAAAAACTACCATTAGCCTATTTAGCCAAGTTAGCTAGCCTAGCTAATCTACTTCTGTAGCTTTGTTTAATTATTTTGATTGATTAAGCGACTGAATTTAATGTCTATGATTATGAAATAAATACCCAACAACACTGCCCTTTGGGCAGTGTTCATAATATTATAAATAAGCAAAAATAATTACATTAACTTTTGACCTATTTTTGAAATTTTCATTTGATTCACACATGGCTCTATTCAAAGTTAGACCTGAAGATCTGGACAGCAACAATATTTAGCTATTATTCAAGTTTAATACTGACAAAGGTTATTTACACTAACATAATTATCGATGATCTGAAAGATTTGATTGAAACATAATTGGCCATTTCTAATGATAAAAAATGAAAAAATAAAACCTTGGAAATGCACTTTAATGTTAAAAATAGTTGTTTGTTAAAAATTATTTGAGTTCTGGCGCACAGGTTATTGTTTTTAACGTGTTCTGCAGATAGAACTCTATAATTCCAAATGAAATGGGCCTTTTCAGAATTAGAAAGTTCTATCTGCAAAACACCCACTTCCAAAACTCCCGTATTAACGCAATTTAATGTTCATTTCATTCTGACTATATGAGCAGTCAAACTTTGAACGTAAATATCTCAAAACCACCGAGAACGTAGATAGAACTGTATAATTCTAAGGTGACGAAATGTCACCAAATTCTAATTAACGAGCTGATAAAAAAATAGGCAAAATATATATGAAAATGAAAATGACTTACACCACTCGGTTTGTATGGGAAGAAAGGCCTTGTCGCCGTTCTCCCGGATCATCTCCTCTATTTTATCCAGTAGGACAGACACACTCCTGTCCTTGCCAGGTGTCTTACTGTCCAGGACGTGGTAATAGTTCCCACAGTACTCTAGCAGTCTTTGCAGCTCCCGCCCACCTCTGAGGATGTGCTCCTCAATGGGTGTGCGTCCCAACCAGTCACCACAGCTGAACAATACCATGGTATGGAGGCACGCGCTGTCACCAAACAGAGTCTCTATGTGCGCCAGGAGTGTTCGCCTTTTCCTGGCAGTGAGGGATGAGACAACGGGCAGGACTAGCAGCAGTGTGTGGGGTCCAGGACGGAGAAGAGCAGCCCCACGCTGCGACTCCTGACGGATGCGCTTTGGGGTTCGCCTGACTGAGAACCAGTCCCAGCCTGGGGTGTCTACAATAGTGACCCGACGTCCAGAGACGAGTGCTTGCCTTCTAAGGCACAGCTCGGTCTCCTGTCCTGACTCAAAGTACCGACGGCCTAGGATGGAGTTCCCCACCGAGCTCTTTCCAACACCCTTCCAACCCAACAACAGCAACCTCAATTCTGTACAACCAGACAGAAGGAGAAAGAAACACAATGACAGAAAGAAAACACTGGGAGTATACAGCAGCACTGACTGATCAGTAAGTAAGTGATTTCTTAATCCTCGAGCATAGCATTACAGCATGTGAAACATTACGGCATGTGATCTCCCCTTTAACGCAAGACCCACTTCAAGACACTCTTCAGCACACATACAAATGAAGAGCTCCCTCATACCCCTAGGAGGTCCTCCAATCATCTGCTCCCTCTGTCTAGCGTGCTCCTCCATCCTCATCCTCTCTTCCTCCAGAGCTCTTCTAGCCTGTTCTTCCTCCAATAAAATCAACTCATTCACCTCAAAATACCAGCCTGCATGAAAGAAGCAATAAATTAGTCACAGTAGTGTGCTCAGTCAGTTCTGTGACACATTCGGCATATTGATCATTAATACAATAATCAGAATAAAGAAGCAACAGAAGTAAATACAATATTATTATTTATTGTTATAAATGCTAAAAACATTGAATATCTTAGAAAATAAAATTAAATAGGATTAAAAAATACAAAAATGTACAAAAAAATTAATTCTGGCCAAACCTTGGTTGTCGGCGATCATTTCCTCTACCTTTTCCATCAGCTCGGGTACCTGTGTGCTTTCTTCATTATCTTTTTGAATGTTATCGAAGGCGTGATACCTGCAGTGGGAAAAATTTTTTTAAGAGGCTCTTCACTTAAATGAGACATAAAGTTCAGAAAATGCTTGTATGAAGTTTTCTATAGCTCTGAAGGGAACTTTCCAAAATGTGGAAAGAACAACAGTGCTGACATAGTGATGTCATCTGGGTTACTTTGGATCAGACTTAAAATTTTTTAACATTAAGTTGAAAATCTAAAATATTGTTTTTTGGTCTTAAACCACAACAGCAAATAAAAGCTAGGTTGCCTTTGCCTCTGCCACTTTGATTTTGCTGTTCTTTTTTAAAAATATATTTCCCATAAATTTATAAAATGTTTTAATCAATGCAAACAAGACTTGATAGTTGAAAAGGTCAACTGCGTACAGGTAAAATTCGTGAAAAATACTTCTATCAGATTCAGCTTTGTACTCCTATAAGAAAATTAGAGTAGAATGGGCAATTAGGGGGAAAAAATTTCTTTATACAACTTCTTTCACATTTCAAGACCTGTAAACAGACTTTGTTGTATGATATCTGAAATCTGAGAAATTTCCCTTTATGTTGTTTGTTAAACCATTGCTGCACTGTTTCATCACAAGATTTACTAATTACTTGTGATTGTTTGATTGACACTGTACTAACAAAGACTTCACATGGACAAGTATGCATGTTTTTTGATGTTCCTTTGTTTAGAGCAGACTTTTGAGAAATCAGAGAGAATAGGGAGAGTGCTGACAGACCTGCTTCCACATCTCTCCACCAGCCACTGCAGGGCTTCTCCAGTGTTCGCTATGTGCTCCTCAATAAAGACACCTTGGGGCAGTTTGTCTACCCCAGTAAAGAGGACCATGGAGTACCTCCATGTCCCTCCACCCAGGGCCCCCAACTGCTCCTCTGCAGCTCTCCTTTGGGTGTCAGTAAAGGGCTGAGTGACTGATACCACCAGTAGGATAGTGTGGGGTCCAGGAGGGCAGAGTATGGCCCCCATGCAAGGCCCCTCACTGTCCAGGCTCGGAGGGGGTCGTGGCTGGCTGTCAGACTCAGCAGTGGCATTGTCATTGTTATCAGCTTCGTTGTCTTCTTCAGGATCAGTGGGGATTGCCCATGGTGGGGTGTCGACCACAGTGACCCGTCGGCCATAAATCTCTGTCTGGCCAACGTTACTATGTGTAGTCTCTGTCCCAGCTTCGAAGACCTGATCCCCCAGAATGGTGTTGGCAGTGGAGGTCTTACCAGACTGTGGCCCCCCTAGGAGCAGCAGTCTGCGCTCTGGGGGGTGGCGACCTCTGAGATCCCCTGGTGGAACACAGGAAAATCAGACCAGAGGTTCTCAACAAGGACAGGTCATTGGGTTTGTGTTCTAAATTCTAAATATTTTATATTCTTATGTGCAACATGAAGCACAGCATTTAGTTGTCTGAGAAAATTAGCTTTATTTTTGCACCAATGTTTTGTCTCATAAGTAGTGTCTTCATTGTGGTCCATGTTGGACTTTTCTTCAAAAACACAAGTCAAGTTGCTTTTTATTGAAGCTCTTAGAATTACCATGACCTGAATGACAAAAAAAAAATTTTGAAGATAAATTCTACCCTCATTCCTGTCCTCATTCCGTAGGGTGCTGTCCTTTAATCTGAGCTCCTTTCTACCTTATGCGTCTTCTTTTTTGCTCCTCTGTCATTCTTGTTTTTAGTCTCCTTTCTCCTTCTGACTCTACTCCCAGTGTGCCTCCTCTTTCCACCTGTTCTTAACCTAAGGAGAAATTGGTTCAAAGAGGAGGAACCCTGGACTTCCTAAAGATAGAATGTCATGTGGGCAAAACATGACATATATATATATATATACATTCTGAGTACAAGTTACAAGAGGGAGACACGTGTTTTAATAAAATGATATCATGGGAAAATACGAATATTCAGAGTATGGCAAAAGGAGTGATGCAGGCACTGTGAGGATGACAAGAGAGGGAAACATGAGAAGAAGGAAGTTTATTGATGTTCCCCTATTACTCATTGGGGCTGAGACTTTCCATGTGTTCTCCTAATTACAGGAAGTTGACTCAAGCAACAGTTCTTCACTATAATGGATATTTGGTGACATGGCGTTTACAACTCACCACTGTGATTAAACAAATGGTGAAGATGGATGATGTACAGCCTGCAGTGAGGTTTGCAGCGAAGGTTAAAAACCCACTTACCAGTGTCAGAGGCAGAGGACACAGCAGCCATCTTGTGTGTAGAACCTCTGGCTTCCTCCTCCTCAGCCCCCCTCCTCCTTCTCCTTCTTGCCTCCACGGTGGAATCGTTTTCTTGCTTCTTCAGAAAATGACAAATCCTGAGTGATGTGGAAAAGGCTTGCAACTCAAACGCATCTTAGCTCTTTCTTTTACTCAAAGCCTCATTCTACCGCAGTATAACTCACCGTATTTTTAGTTCTCTGTGTTTCCCCCTGTCTCCCTTGCCTTCTTCATACCTCCTTTGCCATTTAACCTCTGCCTAGCTTTTCTATAATCTATTATCTTCCACGCCTCCTATACCCCACTATGACTCTTTTCTGCCTTTGCCTCTGAATGTTCTCTCACCTTTTCCTCGCCTTCTTGTACTTCCTCTTTTTTCCTATTTATCTATCAGATGGAAAGATTGTGCAATGCAGAGGAGTGAAAGCCAAATCCACCCCTGCAGCCGCAGCTCCAGGAAGATGTCTTGTCATTTTTGAGGCAGAACCGAGGAAGCTGTTCCTCCCACTTACTCGTGTCTCACAGCAGCAGCACACAGCAGCAGCACTAGCACTGTATGCAGACTGCAGTCAGGAGGACAGATAAAAAGATGGATCGACAAAGCAAGGGAGAGAGAGAGAGAGAGAGAGAGAGAGAGAGAGAGAGAGAGAGGACTATGTTCTCTTATTACAGCTGGATGTATTCCCCAGCTGGTGCATCACGCACAAACACATCTATTTATATGATGCCTGCAGACATGGAAATGTTGTAAGGCAGGAAGGAGATATATATTGCACAGATAAATTTCATACAAGACATTTAGTCACAGCTTACATAATACATAAAATGCTTGGGGGGGGGGGCGCATCCCGATGCCTTAGCACATCCTAGGTTTCTTTGCACATGCATTATGTGCGCCGGCATGGCGTGATACATTCACGGACCCAAGAGAAACGACGTAAAACGGAGGAACGAAACAATGTTTGCTTTGTGTTAAGGAAAATAAATACGCTGACGATACAATTCGAAATGTTTTTGTCTTCATTTGCAGTACTGCTAACACTTTAAATCTTAGGTCTTTTGAACTACAACCTGAAATACTGAAATGTTCGCATGACCCTGCTGTAAATCGTTATTCATACCTCGTGCCGTACGCCAACTCTGAGTGTCGTAAGAAAAAAAAAAGGAAAAAAGAAGCGTCGTCCACGTGATGCTACAAGCTGACGTAGGCTACTTGAAGATAGCGTGTGTCTGTGTGTAGAGAAAGGTGCTGGGAAGAACTGTGCCAGCAGAAAAATCCTCACCTTAAGCATGGAAGGAGCTGACGAATTAATGAAGTATCGTTCACCTTTGGTGTCTCGGTACGCCAGCAAGGAAATGGCCTATAACTTCAGTGACAGGAAGAAATTCACAACTTGGAGGACGCTGTGGATCTATCTTGCTAAAGCGGAAAAGGTCTGACATAGTCAATGTTTCTGTTGTTGTTGTTGTATTTGTACGCGCATTTTTGTGTCAAGCTTTCAAATCTTAGGAACTGAAGTTTGCGACCTCCAGAGAGGCTTATTAAGTTTCCTGCTCTAAATATAGTTTTAAGGAGGACCACAGCTGCACTTAAGAGCTGTCTGCATGGTTGTCAGATCCTGACTGAGCAGAGTTCGCCATTCATCAAGCACAGAAAGCATATATTATGTAAGAACAACATTTAAGAGCTTCAGGTCTTGGGAAATTAAAAATCATTGGAAAAAAAACAGAAACATTTCAGACCAGATAAAATTCTTTATAGCTTGACTAACGTTTGGATTTATACATAAACCAACTGAATGAATGTAGTTTGACCTCTTAGTAAATCCAACTAAATTGGTATTTTTGCCAATAAGTATTCGTTTATAAACATGGGGTACCCATTTCCCATTAGAAAATAAGTTCTATGCAAACTTAAAATCATATCTATTTTCTATTTTTTAAACTAAGATATCAAATCATGCTTGTCTCCTACACCATATTAGGCTTCCAGCTAAAATTTTTGTCATTGAATGATTTGCAGATTATTTTCATGTAGTTTTCCCATCCCCTTTCAGTTTTGTTTGTAATCTTTAAGGGGACAACTTCTAATGTGTTGTTTTGTATTACCAAAAGTCTAGGAGTGTTGTTGATAGATTTCAGTTCAAATGAGATAAATGACTTATATTTTAAAACCACAAAACGAAAAAGTTTTCATCAAAAAAACTGCTGTTTAAAATGTAATAGTTACCTCTTTCATCAGCCTATTTCTGGGACCTTGAACAATGTTTGGCCACATAACAGGAGGCTGTAATCATAGCTTCTGGGATTACGTATGATAAAGTATGCTCTAAAACAGTAGCATTCTTGACATTTAGCTCCCAAACGAAACAGTTGTTTGATACTTTTAAGTCCCCCAGCCCATGGCTTAACATGCCAGAGTGACGGTATGCTTCTGTGTCTGGGCCCACTTGCTTATGTGGCCTATTCTAAGATCCAGTAGTAATCACATGACTGTTGTATGCCAACAGAAAAAAACATCCCAATCTAATAAGGACATGAGGAGTGTCTTGTGAGGGCAGCACATTCCTGTCAAGACTGTAGAAAAGACAGACATGGCTCCTTATGTTAATAGCAGGCTGTTTGCTGTAAGCTCAAAAAATCTATTAAAACATTGAATGTGTCTGCAAAAAGTCATGGAACATTTACCCACATATCTCTTCACACAAGGAGGAAATTTTAAATTACCTCTTGGCAGGTATGTTTGTGTAATTTATTGTGTTAAATGCCCCTTTTGCGATTGTATTCCACAGGAGAGAATAAAAACCAAACCTAGAATAGAATAGAATAGAAAAATACTTTATTAATCCCAGTCTGGGAAATTACTGTGGTACAGCAGCAGAAAGTACTATTTAAGAATTACAAATAAAATAGGTGAATAAAATAAAATAAATAAAATAAAATAAAACAACTGTACAAAATGTGCAATTTGAGAAAAACAGTGCAAAGAGGGTTTTACAGAGCAGAGAGCTGAGAACGCTCTCTGCCAGACAGAGGTGAAGTGTTATACAGGGTTATGGCTCTGGGCAGGAATGATTTCCTGTAACGGTCCTTGTGACAGCGGAGCTGAATCAGTGTGTTTGAGAAGTAGCTCCGCTGCCTGTCCAGAAGGGGGTGGAGAGGGTGGTCGGGGTTATCCAGAATAGATAACAGTTTGTTCAGAGTCCTCCTCTCCACCACCGCTTGGATGGTGTCCGGTTTGCAGCCGATTATGGAGCCAGCCTTCCTGATCAGTTTGTTCAGGCTGTTGGTGTCGCCGGCTCCGATGCTGCCTCCCCAGCAGACTACAGCAGAGAACACTGCACTGGCAACAACAGACTGATAGAAAATGTTCAACATCTTGCTGCACACGCCGAAGGATCTTAGCTTCCTCAGGAAGTAGAGTCTGCTCATCCCCTTCTTATATACAGCCTCGGTGTTGATCCTCCAGTTCAGTCTGCTGTCAATGTGGACGCCCAGGTACTTGTAGTCCTCCACCGCTTTAATGTCCTCTCCCAGGATGTTCAGGGGCTGTGTGGCCGTCCTCATCTTCCTGAAGTCGATCACCATCTCCCTCGTCTTGGCCACATTCAGGAGCAGATGGTTCCTCCCAGACCACTCCACAAAGTCACTCACCAGCGCTCTGTACTCCCCATCCCCAAACCTGACCAGTATACACTCACTTATTTGATCAAGTCAAATCAAATGTGAAAACCCAGAGCTATGCCCTACTTCAGGGGTGATCATACTGATGCCTTCTTTGTTCATGAATGGCGGGACATGATGAAATGTTACTGTAATAGTGTGGCACTCATTATGAAATCTTTGATCTAATCATTATTAAGACAAACAGTCAAGGTGAGAGACCTGGTGAAGGTATTGCATTGCTACCTCACTGAATTAAGTGGTACTGACCACTCACTAGTAATTTTAGTGAGCTGTCATACTCTTAACTTGCCAATGAAAGACTGCTGCTGATGCGTATCTTCAGAGATATCTGTGAAGAACCAAGTGCTAAGGTGGTCATGATGTTCACTAATCACTGTCCTAACCCCAGTTTTGCCAAATGATTCAAGGCATCTGAGAGGTGGACTGCAGTTGTGGTTCAGGAGTGTTTGAATTGTCACATGAAAAATGTGAGGAAGACAGCAACCCAATGGTCTGCACTTATATAGAGCCTTTCTAACTTAGTGGTACTCAAAGTGCTTTACAGTTTTTACCGTTGCTTTACAGTGTTTCCCATTAATGTTTCCATTCACCCATCACACACACATGCACATACCAATGGCAACAGAGCTGCCATGCAAGGTACTTGCCTGCCATTAGGAGCAACTTTGGGTTCAGTGTCTTTCCCAAGGACACTTCAACATGTGGTGGGGCAGGGGGTAACATGGTAAGGTCTCTTTCGAAGAAGAAATTGCCACAGATGATCCAGACCATAATCTTTACATACAACTGCACTGTTAATGAGATCACTAGGTATGCACCTTTCTACTTGATGTTCAGGAGAGTTCCTGTGCTTCCAGTTGACCTCCTTTTCAAGAATGTATTCTGCAATGTGACTATAATGCTTACGTGAAGTGCCTTCTGGAGGATCTGCATTGTGCCATGGCTCTGGCTTAGTGGATCTGCACAGCTGTGTGGAGGCATTAGTGTGACAAGTACAACAAATGAGTCAAAGTCCAGTCTCTGTCTCTCGGTGACCAGGTGGTGCAAGGGCATCAAGCATTCCGACAAGTGGTTGCATTACACTGTGGTGGCCTCAAAACCTGCACTGCATGTCTACAGGAGCTGGAGTCAGAAGGGAAATGCTCACCTAAACCTGCTGCTCCAGGTCTGATTGGCCCGAGACTGGCATGACTGGGTTGGAACTACAGCTGCAATGGTTGAGCCATCTTTTGCTGGCTCCTTCTCATGTGTTGATGACTTGGCTTATAGCTGCATAGCCTCATTGGTCTGTCCTCCACTTATAAGTACGTTGGTTTGGACTGCCCACCACTTCCCTCTGCGGTGTCATATCATTATGGCCAAAATGATAATCACGATTATTTTGATAAATATTGAAATCACGATTAATTATCATGATTATTTGTTGATTTTAACCAAAACAAATTTTATTGTTGTACAGACTTACTGTTTTCACATCCATGTATTGTGCTACATTCCTGCTAATGTGCAAATATGTGCTTAAAAATAAAATACGTCCTCTTTTTCTCCAAAATTCAATGCAAGTCCATAAAAAATAAATAAAGATAAATAAAACAATAATGAAAAGGCAACAAAACAGGGCACTAGTTTCCATTTCCATTCTGTAAATAACCGATAGATGCCAGGACTTCCCTTCTTTCCAAACCAGT